AACTACTTTCAATCAAATTCCTATCTTTCTCTCAAAATTTCAATCCAATTTTTTTCCACAAAATGGCTACTGATGCAGGTTCGAATTGGTCGCTTCTTGAAGATGTTGCGTTGTGCACCAGCTGGGTTGAAGTTACTCATAATTCCCTTACGGGTAATGAGATGCAATTGCGAGAAATGTGGAATTTAATTCATACCAAATTTGTTGAGCAAATGAGTGGGAAAAGAACCAAAGAATCGATATCCAGTCGTTGGAAAATACTTAGCCATTCCTTTAGTACGTGGAGAGATGCCTTGACACAAGCTAGTAATAATGTTCGAAGTGGGGCAAATTATGCGGATGAGGTAAGAATATATTATAATTATTTGTTTGTATTATTATTTTGTTACCTAATTTGATTATAATTATTTGTTTGTTTCATTTATTTGTTACCTAATTTCATTATTCTTATTTGTTTGCAATATTTATTTGTGACCTAATTTCATTTTTATTATTTGTTTGTATTATTTATTTGTGACCTAATAATTTCATTATTATTATTTGTTTGTATTATTTATTTGTGACCTAATAATTTCATTATTATTATTTGTTTGTATTATTTATTTGTTACCTAATAATTTCATTATTATTATTTGTTTGTATTATTTATTTGTTACCTAATAATTTCATTATTATTATTTGTTTGTATTATTTATTTGTTACCTATATTTCATTATTATTTTTGTTTGTATTATTTATTTGTTACCTAATAATTTCATTATTATTATTTGTTTGTATTATTTATTTGTTACCTAATAATTTCATTATTATTCATTTGTTTGTATTATTTATTTGTTACCTAATAATTTCATTATTATTATTTGTTTGTATTATTTATTTGTTACCTAATAATTTCATTATTATTATTTGTTTGTATTATTTATTTGTTACCTAATAATTTCAATATTATTCATTTGTAGCAACTTCAAGCACAAGCATGGTATGGTGCCAAAATCAAATCAAGAAACAAATCATTCACCCGGTGGGAATGTTGGAATATTGTTAAAGATTGTCCTAAATTCAAAGTTGTGCATGTTGGTCCAGAAGTATGCATGAACAGCATCCCTCTACACAGCACCTTTGTACACAGCACCCCTCCACACTCTACACTCGATCATGGCTCCCATGTTGATGAAGAAGATGGAGAAGAAGTGCCTGAAACGCCCATTCCTGAACAAGCGTCGGGGTCGACCCGCTATCCAATTAGGCCTCTAGGTAAGAAGGCTTCAAAGAGAAAAGGGAGTGCTTCCAAGAATGATTATGGAAAGTACATGCAAGAACTTGCTCGTCAAGGTGAATTGACGTTGGCGCGGGAATTGGCGAAATATGATGTTGACAAGGCTAGAGATGAGGTAAAAGCTGCAGCTATTCAACAAGCATTTCAAGCTGAACAGAGGGAAAAAGAGCTACTTAGGCAAGAAAGGGAGTTGCTTAGAGAAGAAAGAATTGCACAACGAGATCGTGACATTATGAACACGCATTTAGAAGGGATGTCTCCAAATTCTAAATATTTTTGGCAGTCGGAGAAAGCGGATGTGGTGCAAAGGAGGCGTGCAAGAGAAGCGAGATCAAGACAAGATGGTCCTAGCACAACAAGACAAGATGATCCTAGCACCACAGATTGGTTAAGTGGTGAGGAATAGGGTACTTTTGTAATCGGAGCCCATAGTTTTCCAATCACTTTGGGTTGTAATTTATTATTTATGTTGTTTCCATTTTATTGAAGTTAGTACTTTATTTAAAGTGAGAGTACATGTATTTAATTTCGTAATATATTTATCCTAATAATAGAATCTTTAATTCATCAAATTGTTCACGTATAATGAAATTATAAAACACACCAAATAAAATTACATAAACATACGAAATAATAAAAAACTCACTACAAAAAACACACCAAATAAAAATACATAAACATACCAAATAATTCACACCAAATAAAATTACATAAACATACGAAATAATAAAAAACTCACTACAAAAAACACACCAAATAAAATTACATAAACACACCAAATACAAACAAACATACTAAATAAACTTAAGTATCTTCAGCTTGTTTTAATGCCCACTGGTGCTCTATCAAGTCAATTTGCCGATCATTGTGCATAGATGACCTTTGAAGTGTAGTATATCGTTGAATGACCCTTTCATTGTAACGTTCATCCCTTTCTAATGGCTCGTGTTGCACGGGTTCTTCGGTGGCATCATGCGCACAATATATCCGTGTTCTTGAATTGTTCATCGTGTCTAGCTCTGGCTCATATTCATCAACCGCATCATAATCAAACTCATCTTCCACAATCATGTTGTGAAGAATGACGCACGTCATCATGATGGATCGAAGTGACTCTACATCGAACATTCTGGCAGCACCCCTAACGATCGCCCAACGAGCTTGAAGGATACCAAAACAACGCTCCACATCCTTCCTGCACCATTCTTGACAGCTTGCAAAGTGTTTTTCTTTTGCACTTCGCGAGCGTGGCACTGTTTTGAAAAATGTTTCCCACCGTGGGTAAATGCCGTCAGCTAGGTAGTATGCCTCGTCGTACCTACGTCTGTTGACGACGTACGTGACTTTTGGTGCCTTTCCTCGCAGGACGTCGTTGAACACTGGGGATTGGGCAAGGACGTTGAGATCATTTTGAGCCCCCGGAACCCCGAAAAAGGCGTGCCATATCCATGTATCAAAAGATGCCACTGCCTCCAAAATGATAGATTTTGATCATTTTCTGTCCCCATATGCGCCTTGCCATACACTTGGACAGTTTTTCCACGTCCAGTGCATACAATCGATGCTTCCTATCATCCCAGGAAAACCTCGCAGCTCGCCCTTCTTCAGAAGCCTTTGCAAGTCCACGTGAGTAGGTTTTTGGAGGTACTCGGCGGTGTACAAAGATTCAACTGCTCCGCAAAACCTCATCAGGGCCTCAAGAATAGTTGATTTCCCCATCCTCGTTATCTCATCCACTTGGTCTGCAGATGCTCTATACGCAAGCATCCGCAACGCAGCAGTGATTTTTTGCTCAGGCAGGAGACCCATAACACCACAAGCATCCTTCTTTTGCACAAAGTAAGAATCATGGTTGCAAACATCAGTCATGATTCTATTGAACAAATGTCGTTCCATTCTAAAACGGCGTCTGAAGTACGTATCAGGAAATGCACTGTTATGGACAAAGTAATCGTCCAACAGCTCTTCACCCCGTCGTTGCCTGCTTCTATCAAGGTTTCTTGAACGGTTGTGCCTGCATATCTGAGCAACAGTCTGGATGACTCGACAGGAATGTGAGGCTCTGGCCATTCTTGTTTCATCATCTCTCCTTCTACGCTCCTCATCCTCTTCTATCTCATTTTCGGCTATCTGAAGGTTGAACATTCCTTCAGATTGGTTAAACAATTCCTCCTCTTGCTGATCGATTTCCCACATCATCCTTGATGAAGAAGAAGACATTGTAAGGATGGATGGTGAAGAAGAAGCAGAAATTATGAATAATGAGATAGAGATGTTGAGAAAATTGGTGTGAGATTTATGAGGATGGATGGTGGATTATATGGACGATTCAGAAAAGGATCAGATTGTAGATGAGGCCACGTGGCATGCCGTCATTTGTTAAAAATCTAATCGAAATCTATCCTCAAAGATTCTGAAAAGATAATGACACGTGGCACGATCGTATTGGATAAAAATCTTATCGAAATCGATCTCCAATAATTATATTTTCGGATAATGACACGTGGCGCAATTTTGAACGAGTTAAAATCTGATCAAAATCTATCGTCAAAGATTCTCAAAAGATAACGACACGTGGCACGATGACATTGGATAAAAATCTTATCGAAATCGATCTCCAATAATTATCTTTTCGGATAATGACACGTGGCACAATTTTGAACGAGTTAAAATCTGATCAAAATCTATCGTCAAAGATTTTCAAAAAATAACGACACGTGGCATGATGACATTGGATAAAAATCTTATCGAAATCCATCGCTAAATAATTGTTTGTTTTTATAAAATGACACGTGGCGCAACGAGAACGATTTAAAAAATCTTATCCGAAATTACAAATAATTTTATTTTGTATTATTTAAACAAACAAAAAAACTAATATTTTATTGCCTATTGCCTGGGGGGAAGGCTCCAAGGGTGGAGATGCAAATGGCAATTACTGTTCATTAATGGCAGTTACTATTCATTTAAGGCAGTTACTGTTCAAAAGGGTGGATTCAATAGTGGATTGCCAGGGGGGAAGACTCCATGGATGGAGTTGCTCTTAATTCAATGCATAACTTTACACTTTGGGTATTTATACAAAACCATCACAGTTGTCATCACAGTTAACAAAAAAGGAACAACAACTGAAAACTAACTAACTAAACATTCCTTAGCCTCTAAGTATTATCCCTTGAAGGTGTAATTACATTTTTATCCTTAATAGGAGAAGACGAACTGGGTTTTGGCTTTTTTTTTATTTTTTGCTTTTTTTAATTAATTTTTTAAAATTTTTAAAATTTTTCATAAGTGTTTAGCCACTTGACACAAATGTGTCAGCCACGTCAGCACAAATGAGCACCCCTTATTTGCCACGTCATCACTTAACGGTTTACTTAACAGATTTTTTAACGGATGTATGAAATTGAAATAAAATGATAAGTAAATGTATGAAATTGAAATGTTTTAAAGATGTTGTAAGGAATTGAAATCGACCCTAAACTTGAGGTGGTAAAATTAATTTACCCTATTATATTTGGTTGGAATATTGACATTTACTATCAAGTAGTGGGAAAAAAAAAAAACATACAAGGACATACAACACGTGACTTGGGTCTCACTTTGACTCATGCCTCGTAATGTGGCATGCACCGGTCGATTGCAGCCAACATAGTAATTCGGGCATAGATGATCGTGAGAGTTGTAAATTCCCTCGTGGTTTCTAAATCGGACATCACAAATATATGTGCAAAATGATCCAACAGATTTTTTTTACGAAGAACCAAATTCATAACTTGCATCCAGAATTTCAACTAAAAAAATTTACATAGCACATGATACCCCGTCATACTAAGGAAAAAAAATGGTAGAGAAAGAGGACCACTTGATCGAAGACCGAAAAGCATAAAAAGCAATGATGAGACAAAATTTCTAGGCTGTGTGAGAACTGCCTTTCTTGCGATTCTTCAAGGAATTGCAAAAGGAAGTGAAACCTGCTTTTAGTTCGCCCGGAAGTGAAAGTTGAAGGGGGAGGACCAGGGGAGAGACTTGCTCACTTTTCTTCCTCACAGAAAATGGTTGCGCTAAAGCTGGCTGCTGCTTGTTTAGGCCTTCAATAACAAATGAGAATGCCCCAAAAGTGAGACAGCTTTGTAGAAGAGCCTGCGGTGCACCTGCAAATCAAATAAGGTACTCTAAATTAAAGATGTGATATACAGTACGGAAACTGCTTTAATTGATTAGTGCGGAAACGACTTGCCCGTTGGTGACAAGCCAAAAATGAATAAGACCAAAAATCGGGATTTCTGTAGATATTAAGGATTTTAATTTTAAAAGTGAAGTCAATGTGTTTATTGCTAATTTATAAACTATCGTAACTCTGTAACATGATGGATACCTGGAAAACTAAGAGCAAGACCAGTGCAACAGCCAGCTACTCCAGCATTAATAACTGCACAGGGAAGAGAGCGTGAACACGATATAATGAATGAATGAATAATATAAAAGTACCATTTCTGCATTCAAGTTCCCATACCATCATCCTTTCCTCGCAGCCTCTTTAAAATGCAGACAACCAAACTGTGCACTCCGGACAAAACTGCAAATGTCTGAAAGGCGAAAATATAAAAGTGAACCTTAACAACTGAATGCAAAGAAACATACGACATTGTAAATAGCATTGCATAAGAAACTAAATTAATTACACTAAGATTTCGAAACTATCAATTAATAATAGGAATTTTCATACCTTAGCATAAGATCCTGCCTCTCCAAAGGATCCTTTAAAGCCTTTTTTCTTGACCAACCCCGCACCTGAAACACATCCAGGCAAGGTAAAACAAAAATCTCAGTCCGAATGATTTCAAGTAAACGAAAAAAAGATAAATTGGGGTTTATTTGAGTGGTAGATTGCCGAAGCAGGGTTTGCTTTGCTCATCTAATAATTCATTAATAAACTTGATATCAAGCCAAATCTCAAATGTCTAGCCGTATTTACAAGTATAAAATTCAGGCCAAGCTCAACAACTAAATATCAAGCCAAGTTTGAGTAGCATGGTTTGTTCTACATCGCCTCGTTATGTAAACACAGGACACAGAAATGAGTGGCATTATCCAAACAATGTGGCCTAATTGTTGAATAAACCTTAATAATCACAGACAATCAGAATTCTCTCATAACAGCTTCTACCCGCTAGTTAGACGCAATGAACATAAACAGGAACCGAGCAAATAGCAGTATAAAGCTCAGAACGAACTATGTATAAGGCTGTGAAGCCTCGATATCTGGGACTAAAATACCAATAAAGCATAGGCCATGTACCCTGCTCCAAGTCTATCCACAAGCTTACAGTACACTGTTCAATCCCAGACCCTTAAATTATCAACTTAAACCCAAATTAATTACTGTCTTATCAGTGCCAGCGGGAAATTATAGAATTACACTCTCTATTACAATAAAGAACGAAATTAACCAAATTTACCCCATAAACCACAAGTTCACATCTCAAAACACTAGCATATCTTAACAATGATTCTGCGAAAGACCACCAAAAATTCAGAAAGTAAAATCCAATCTTTTTCTAAACCCTAAAAACTCATTGAATAAAAGCATATTTTCCCACAAATTGCAAATCCCTCATGAGCACCACTCAAATTCTCATAACAAACACCACAATCATGCAATTAAAAGCTTCACAACACAGACACATGTATACACGCACACATACATATATGTATATACAGAGAGAGAGAGGGGGGGGACCATATCCAAAAACGGAGCCCATGAACGCGCCGCCAGCGGAGTCTCCGGCGAACCTGAGGAGGCAGACAGCAGGGGCATTGGGGGACGCAGGGACTAATGAGTTCGAAGAATTAGGGTTCGAATTAGGGTTTGGATTGGTATCGAGCTCAGTGTTGGTGTCCATCTCAGTGTTTGGAGAATCAACCGACGTCGTCGCCATGCCCGCTGCCACTCTCTCTCTGTCTATTCAATCTCCAAAAGCAGAAATGGACAAAAATCCTAAACTGACACTACAATACAATACGACGCCTTGTGTTTTCCATATTTTATTTGTTTTTTTTATTTTTTGGTAAGGTGATAGATTTGTTTTTTTAGTACATCGATATTTTTATATTAAGAGTACGGGAAGTTCGACTAAGTCACATAATGGGTAACCTAATTTGGTATCAAATTCGCCATCCACTGGATTCGAATCTAAACTTCTCACTTTCAAATAAAGAGGAATATCATTAGACTTGTAGACATCGAAATTTCGGTGAAATAAATATTGACCAATAATTAAAATTTCAACGTTCACGTGTCATATAAATTTTACACGTAGCATGTGACTCAACGAAAAATCAAAAATCATCAGAAAAGTCATCAAATAGAACACATGTCAACACTTGACAGAAATGATTTATTTCATCTGAATATTATATTCAAATTAGGCCTTGAAAAATTATATAAATATAAGGTCATTTCATCCATTTTAGGAACCAATTGACATTACACCAAAACCTTGAAGTTTTGAAACTCTAAAATTCCCAAGCAAATCCCGAAGGATCAAGAAAGCTCTATTCGTTCTTCATCAAATCAACCTTCAAGATCAAGCCCCAACGACTCATTGAAGAAAGTGTTCATCGTTCATCATTCGTTCATCCTAAGATCAAGCCCCAACGACCCTTGGGATCAACAACATCAACAAATCCACACATCCACTCTTCAAGATCAAACCTAAAAGCCCTCGAAGATCCGTTCATCCGTTCATCAAGATCAACCCAAAAGCCCTCGAAGATCCGTTTAACTGTTCTTCAAGATAAAACCCAAAAGCCCTGAAGATCCATTCATCAACTGTTCATCAAGATTAAGCCTCAAAAGCCCTTGAAGATTTGTTCATCAACAGTTCTTCAAGATCAAGCCCAAAAGCCCTTGAAGATCCGTTCATCCATCAACCTTCAAGATCAAGCCCAAAGGCTTTTGAAAAAACTTCCCTTAACCTTCAAGATCAAGCCCCAACGGTCCTTGAAGAAACTTCCAACCGTTCATCCAAGATCAAGCCTCGACGTCTCTTGGATCAATCGCACATCCACAAATCAACACTTTATGGAGATCGAATCAGAGGATCAAATTTGAGAGAGATTGTAACCCTAAAATCATTAATACAAAATATTATTTTGTACACGTGTTCTTGTCTCATTCGTTTCAGGAATTTTCGTGTTTACAAATTTGGCACGCTCAGTGGGACAATCTTTACCTCTCATCTCTATCTTTAAATCTGCAAAAAGCACAAATGACATCAAGGAAGTTTCAAGCTGTTCCCGCAACCAACGCGAAAAACAAGAGCATCATTGCCACAAGTAGCGCCACTTTGGTCATTACAACTTAAAGCAAGGCAAGAACTCTTTCTGCCACCTCTTCCACCTCTGCATCAACTCTGCCAAAGGAACAAGAGCACTCGAGGCATGAGCCTGTGATTACCCTGGCCTTGCTAAGAGCGCCAAGGGAGGAAAGCTTAAAGAAGTACTCCGATTCCATGCTTTCCGATGCCAACTCAAGCAACAGCTCAGCCATGCATGTTATTACCACCGAAGCAACTTCAATTGATGAGCATCTAGCTCAAATGAATAAAGCAATTGCAAGGCTAACACGGACTGTGGAAGAAAAAAACTTGCAAATCGCTGCACTCGTCAGCTGATTGGAGCCACATGACGGCGAGAACCCCGACCCAAAGGTTGATCTACTAAAGAAAGGAGTCGCAAAGAAGAGGAGCCTCCGATGGAGAAAGTTAATGTGAAGCCAGAGCCAAACCAAGTAGCGGCACTTATAGGATCTCTTTCTATCCAGCAGTTGTAAGAGATGATCACCAACACCATCAAGGCACAGTACGATGAGAGCTCACATACCTTCGTGTTGTACTCGAAGCCCTACTTCAAGAAGATTGACGCCCTGAAGATGCCGATGGGTTATCAACCACCAAAGTTCATGCAGTTTGATGGAAAGGGAAACCTAAAGTAGCACGTTGCATATTTCGTCGAAACTTGTAACAATGCGGGGACCGAAGGAGACTCCCTTGCCAACCAGTTTGTTCGCTCGCTGAAAGGAAACACCTTTGAGTGGTACACGAACTTAGAGCCTGAGTCCATCAACAGCTGGGAGCAATTGGAAAGGGAATTCCTTAACCCCTTCTATAGCACCCGTCGCACTGTGAGCATGCTAGAACTGACAAGCACGAAGCAGTGGAGGGACGAGCCAGTCGTAGACTACATCAATCGATGATGCACTCTAAGCCTCGATTGCAAGGACCGGCTCTCAGAGATTTCCTCAATAGAGATGTGCGTGCAAGGGATGATGGTTACATTATATCCTTCAAGGTATCAAACCATAAACCTTTGAAGAGTTAGCTATCCCTATGACATGGAGCTGAGCATTGCTCACCATGGAAAACAAAAGCCAATCACCGACTTCAAGAAAGACAAGGTGTTTGCTCCAAAGGTGGACAATCATGGGAAGAAGCCCGTCAATGAAGCTTTTACCATCAACATCACTCATGTCAAGACCTCATCTGCACCCGTCAAAATCTCTTCCAAGAACAAAGTGAAAGAGATAAAGAGAGATGAGCCTTCTTTCACCCAAGATAGGTACAAAAACACCTTGAGGGAACTGGAGCAAAAGATGTACCCTTTTCCGGACTCTGACATGGCCGCAATGCTAGACCGACCTGTTGGAGAAGAAGGTAATCGAGCTACCTAAATGCAAGCGCCCCAAAGAGATGAATCGTGTTAACGATCCCAAGTACTGCAAGTACCATCGTATCGTAAGTCATCCCGTTGGTAAGTGCTTCATCCTCAAAAAGCTCATCATGAAGCTGACGCAACAAGGGCTGATTGAACTTGATCTAAAAGACACAGCCGCAATGCATACTACTACGATCATGTTTGGATCCTTCTATCTTATGCTTCTTTAAATGATGCATGATCATTTCCGTCAATGCTCAAGTCACACGGCACCTTCTGCACAACCATCACTGGGGGTAAGCGACCAAAATGTACTTACCAACGATGAAGAAGGGTGGACACTGGTGACTTACAAGAAAATAAGGAAGCCAAGACTACAAGCCACACGAGCAAATAAGGAATAAGCGAGAAAACACCGCCGTCGTGACAGTAGGAAGCCCGAAACAAACGTAAAAGCTGTTAAACCAACGCACGCTGGAGAACCTGTGAAGCAAGAGTCACGCATTCCTATCTCCTTGCACGAGTATTTCCCAAAGGACTTATTCCAACAGTGCACTGTCGCTATCTATCATATGGTTGAAGTGGAGATAGAAGAGCCCTCAAAACTCAAAGCTATCGCCACCGAGAAAGAGAAGACCCTTAAGCCCAAAGAAGGCATGCCAACATACGTTAGCATCGAGGAAGCACTACAATTACCCAGGAAGATACGAAAAGCACTAGCAACGATCCTAGCAAGTCCCAACGACCACGAAATGCAAAAGAGCAAGGACAAAGGTTTGAAACTTCGACTATATGAGTATGCCACGTGTTGTGCCGCCTATGATGCAATCAACTTCACTGATGAAGATTTACTGCTAGGATCAAAGCTTCACAATCGTCCCCTATTTGTCTCTGGGCACATAAGGGAGCACAAAGTTAACCGTATGCTTGTGGATGATGGATCGATCATAAACATCATGCCAAAGTCAACAATGACCACAATCGGTATCAAGGTGGATGAACTATCCCTAAGCCGTCTACTAATCCAAGGCTTTAACCAAGGAGGACAAAGAGCGATGGGCATGATCCGAATGGAGATGACCATTGGTGAACTTAAACCAAGCACAATATTCCACGTGATTGATGCAAGAACTTCTTACAACTTGCTTTTAGGAAGACCTTGGATATACGAAAACAAGGTAGTACCATCCACTCTCCACCAATGCTTAAAATTCTACCAAGAATGAGTGAAAGTGATCGAAGGCGATACCAAGCTATTCACCGAAGCTGAAGCACACTTCGCAGACGCTAAGTTCTACATGAAGGAAGACATAGTGCCCAAAGCTCTCCCAAAAGAGATTAAATCCACGGGCAAACCAACACCTAAAAAGCAGGAGTGGCAAGCCATGCCTAAGAAGCAAGAAAGAGAAGCCGTGCCATCTTTAAGTAAAAACGATGATGAGCTTGCTAAACCTACAATAACCAAAGGAAGTAGGACGCCCTCAAAAGGACTAAACACACCCGTCTTTCGATACATCCTAATGTCTAGAAGAAAGAATGGTCAATCCTCGTTCGAAACTGAAGCAAACAAAGCCGATACACGGTCGCACAATGATGATGTAGAATTGCTCAAGACAAATGCAATTTTACCTCTGACATAGCTAGGCGACGCTAAGGTTGCAAGACCACCATAAAGCTTTATAAAGGCTCTGCCAAAGGGGGTAGAACCAAGCTTTCTACTAACCAACAAGACCAAAGTAGGTTTTGATCCAAAAGCCTACAAACTCATGTCGAAGGCTAGGTACCACTTCACTTCCTCTTCAAATCTTGGAAAGAAGGTGTTGAACACCGTCAACGACAAAGAATATGACCACATCGAGACTCAAAAGAAGTTGAAAGAGCATGGTTACAAAGTTGACAACAACAAAGCTGAACTTGGTTTCACACCAAATGCACCTATGAAGATTTCTAGCAAAATGAAAAACGCTAGAGCTTAACACATTAGCGTGAGCATCGAACAAGATCAAGAGAAGCCTAAACCCACCCCCCAAATGTCAGTCTTCAATAGAATGAATCTTTGAAGGCCCAAAATTTCAACACATAATCGCATTGGTGGTCAAGACCGAACTTTCATCTTTAAGAGGCTTAACATGCTAACATCCTAAAGTTCTGTTTTTGAAAGGTTGTCAAAACCTAAGAAACAAAGCAACATGGTTCGCTTTCCTCTGCGACAGTCAGTTTTGGGAAGACTTGAACAAACCAAGAAGCCTTCCGAAAAGAGAAAGGTAATGCTAAAAGAAGAAAAACTCGACAAT